TTAAATAAAACGTATTTTGACAATACGTTTTTTCTGAATTATTTATAGAACGTAATCTGAAAATACTTTTTGTACTGAATAGTTTATAAAACGTATTTTCAAAATACGTTTTGCACTGAATTATTTATAAAACGTATTTTGAAAATACGTTTTAAACTGGGAAAAAAAAATAAAAAACTTGGTGATGATCGCACAACTCGAACGCACCTGTTTTAAATATTCAAAACAACCAACTAAACCAAAATTACACGAACAAATCAACCGATCTACCTTAAATATCATCAAACCAAGTCCAAATAAATCATACACACAAATTCAAATAAATAATCCAAACAAAACAAAATAAATAATCCAACCAAATCCAAATAAATAATCCAAACAAATCCAAATAAACAATAAAAAATCTAATCTCCCCACACATCACGAAGTCTAGACCTATCGCTGCGAGGATGTGAGGACGGACACTCATCAACAACATGCTCTGGATCACCGCATCTAGTACAATGCCCCCTCTCATTTCTGCGTCGTGCCCGGCGATCCATTTGCATGCGGTAGCGTCTCGTTTGCTTGCGACCGGGTCCAGGCTTCAAGATGATCCTCTCCCAGTGTGGAATCAAATTCCATTCCACCGGCTGCCATGTATCTGGATTACCAATCGGAGTAAAACTCCAATTAGTAAATTGAGCTACCCAGGTCGACGTCCAGAAGTGATCATTGTACAACAGCTTTGGGTCACCCTCAATTAGACGACAGATGGCTATTGCATGAGAACACGGTTTTCTATGCGTCTGCCACTTCCGACAAGTGCAACGTTGTCAGGGGTAATCAACTGTATACCTGTATTTCAACATTGATTTATATAATACAAAAAAAAAAAATGAATGAACAAAAAAAAAAAAAAACATATACTTACTTGTTTTGTCCTCTTCCACTAGCGCGTAGACCGGTTGTCACCGCGTATATCGATCTGGCGTAGTCCGTACATTCCACCTTGTGAGTTGCGGCAGTTTGCTCCAACTGCAAAAATGCGACATAGTGCAAATGAGCAATGGGACTCCTGCATCTACTGGCTTTGTTTTGTTCTTGTCGAAACAAATCCAGAGTTTTTTGAAATGCAGCCTCTACCAACGCTCTGCACGGCAGGAACCTAACCCCTTTCAGGACATTGTTGTAACTCTCTGACATATTCGTTGTCAAAGTGCCCCATCTACGTTTTTCATCTCGATACAGGGTCCACAGGTTCAAAGGAATGTTGAAAAGATAATTGTATGCGTCGGGATACAGTTCTTGAAGTCGCTGTTTTGTCTGTCGAAACTTTTGCTTCGACAACTGCGAACCCAACTCCCAACACCAATCCCGGATTTTCTTACTCCTGAACCAAGTCACCATGTTGCTTCGAAGGTGTCGAAGGCAAATCCGGTGATACGCAGCGGGTTCTTGCCAATCCGGTAATGATTCAATCGCACTGAGTAGACCCACATCCCTGTCAGAAAGAACGCATATCTGTCTGTCGAATACAACATATCGCCGCAGATTCCTAAGGAAAAATGACCAACTGCCCGTGCTTTCTTCGTCGACAAGCGCATACGCGATTGGCAATAGCCGCTTATTCTCAGTCTGTGCTACGGCCACGAGCAATTTCCCTTTGTAATGTCCACGTAAATGTGTGCCATCAACGCTAATAACCGGCGGGCACATTTCGAAGGTTCGAATCGCGGGACCAAACGCCCAGAACACATACTTAAATTCTCTGTCTGGAACGTGTCGGGCCTCATCACCACCCTGAAATTCCCAATCTACAGCTGTGTTGGGATTCGCTCTTTGAAGCGCGGCAAAATATCTGTACAATACAAAACAATTTAATAAATAAATAAATATACTGACAGACAAAAAACACGTATATTTGTAATTAATTTTTGCTTACTGAGGGAGTTCTGCGAAGTTCGACTCCCAACTGCCGTACACACACTCGATTGCTTTTTTTTCTGCCGTGCCATGCCTTCTTGTAACTGACGTCGACTTTCCAACACTGCTTCACATCAGCCTGGACCATGTTAACGTTGTACTCCACTTTCTTCTGAATCTTATTCATTATAAGATTCGCAATCATATGGGCAGTCACATTTCTGTGGTCATTTCTGTCGACCTGTTGCATGCAAGTGTGTTGGTCAGTCCATTCAGTTACGACCCACAAATCATCATGCCGTCTGGACTTATTCACCCGAGCCATCCACAGACAAGGCACATCTGCATCTGCATTCGATTTGCAGACCAGTTTGAATGTCTTCTGATTTGAATCTTTTGACCGAACCTCCCGCAACCTATCGACGTTCCAAGCGATTAGACCCGTTTGGGCTTCTCGCTTGCTCCGGAAAACTGTACCCAAACGTATGGTCTCAATGTCGCCATTCCACTTTGGAATGGCATACTCGTTCGCATCTATCATGGACGGTTCCCATTCACCCATCTCGCGGTATATGTGCCGACCACCAATAGGAAATGGGTGTTCTTCTTCCATGAACTCGGCTTCACTCTCCTCATTAACCGATCTATCTGATTCGGTTTCTGAGGTCTCGTCTGTGAAGTCATCTTCACCGGGAATAAAATCTTCATCGTCCTCATCCGCCGCCCATTCTCTCGATGTCCCTTCTCCAAAATTAGGTACATGAAAAGTCGATGTACCCTCGACATCAAACACTCCCCCGTAACAAGAAGTAAAATCCTCAAACTGTGTAACGGGTGTATTTGCCTGCACCGATAAATGCAAATACACCATCGACATACTAGGAAAGTAATAAATCCATTCAAAACTATCGTTATTGAGTATTGCGGGACTCCACGAACCATCAGGTTGGCTAATCATCATAGTAATCTCCTGAATTGTCCAACCTACTTCAAACTGACATTTTTCATTAATCATCTGTACCAACTGTTCATATGATATCCTCCCCGGAATTATAAATGAACCACTCGGACGATCTTTAAATGAAACAAAATCGTTTAACACTTCCTTCCCAAAATGCCAGTACAAATTAACAAGATATGGACCGGGACCGGGATAGGCCATTTTATACCTGTTGCAAATAAACACTTTCAATTCTTTTTTAAAAAAAACTCAATTTTTACTCTCCAACAAAAAATAAAAAATAACAAAAAATAGCCTCAATCAAATAATCATCCAAAACCATTAAACTCATAATCCAACAATAACATAAAATTCATCTATAATTCGGATAAATTTAAACCCCTAATTCTAACCCTAATTTCGGAAAACCCTAATCCCAACAACAACAAACAATACACAATTGACAATTTACACACAAAATTTCAATCCTCAATTCAACATACACACATAATCCATAATCAATTAGCAATTTTCAATCTTCTAATACCACCACATTCAAACATATTATACCAATCCTCAATTTATAAACAACTTCAAATAATGTAAAAAGTAAAGATAAGACAATATACCTCGTGCGAATGAATTAACTGGAAATGAGACTCGTGCCGGTGTTGTCGGTTTACGTCGGGATGAAGATTGGATCGATTTTTTTTTTCACGCTAAAAAATCGCTCTCCCCTCTTATTTCTTCATTTTTGTTCGCTGTCTGCTGCGTGAATGAAGGAGAGGAAAAGAATTTTTTTTTTTATATTAAACGTAAAAACCGTATTCTCAGAATACGTTTACCGACAATTTAATTGTAAAACGTATTCTGAAAATACGGCTTAATAAAAATAATATTTTTTTCAAAAAAAAAAATTTTCCTCAAGAAACGTATTTTCATAATACGTTTTGCTTTAAAACGTATTTTGACATTACGTTTTATAAAAATACATTTTCATTATTATTTGCATATTTTTTTTAAAACGTTTTTTTTTTTAAAAATTAATTTTACTGTTTTTTTGTGAAACGTATTCTCAGAATACGTTTTCTTGATTAATTTTTTTTTTAAGTAAACGTATTCTGAGAATACGCCTGTTTTGTTTTGGTCCACTCTTTTTTTTTTTT